GTCTTGAGACCGGTCGGGCGCGCGGCGGCGGGGGCAGGCCGCCACTTGCAGTGGGGAACGAAGAGCAGGACCTGGTGCTCGGCGAGCTGGGAGCGAGCGTGACTCACCCAGCAAGCCGTGCTGAGCTCGCCTGGGGCGAGGCCCCGTGCTCAACCCAGCTTTGGGACTGCCATACTCTGCAGCCCATGGGCTCTGCACTGGCCCTGGTTCTGTGCCCTTTTGCAGTGCCCAGTGGGTGAAGGGCAGGACCCCCTGTGCCCCCTCCTTCCCCACACAGCTCTTCCTGAGCATGGGCAGTGCTGTGAGGACACAGCAGGCAGCTCTTTGCTGACCTGGTTTTCTCCCCTGCCCGTGCGCTTCCCCTGCCCCAGAGGTCCTGGAGGAAGATGCGAGCCCAGCTCTTCGCCGCCAGCCCCTTTGGTGTTGCCCGCATGGAGAAGTTCGACGTGCGGGATGATGGCACGGTGCTGGAGAAGTCCTCTCTGCGGCGATCTGGTCGCCGGGTGATCCGCCTCTCAGACTGCGTCTCCGTGGGCCCAGCAGGCACCGAAAGCTGCCCCAAAGCCACCGCTGCCTTTTACCTCACCACCATGGAGAAGAGCTACGTGCTGGCAGCCGAGCAGCGGGATGAGTGGATCGCCCAGCTCTGCCAGCTGGCCTTCCAGGTAGTGCAGGGTCCAGCACAGCTGGGACCCCTTGTGCTCGGGTGAGCCATGGGGCTCTGGGGTGCACGGGCAGGCAGGGGGGCTTGTGCTCCCCTGGTCCAGGGGCTGCACTCACATCCCTCTGTTTCAGGGTACAAAGGAGACAGCGCAGAGCAGTGCCAGGACTCAGCCCAGCCTGGCTGTCCCCATGGAGGAGAACTCCCTTTACTCCTCCTGGCAGGACTGTACGTGCAGGGACCGTGGATGGGGCTGGGATGGGCTCCAGCTTGGTGCTGTAGTGCTGACTCTCACCTTGCTCTGTTCCTGTAGTGACTGAATTCCCAGTGCTGGTGGTCCAGACGGACGCAGCTGACCGCTGTGGTCTGCACGGGCACTACCTGCTCTCGGCCCTTTCCCAGAGCCTGACGCTGAAGGACCCGCAGTCCCGCCAGCCCCTGCTCACCTGGCCCTACCTCTTCCTCCGCAAGTTTGGCCAGGATCAGGTGCGTACCTGCCCCTCACGGGACTGCTATCTGCCCAGGGTGTGTGCCAGCCCTCACCCTGCTCTTTGGCCCTGCAGAACATCTTCTCCTTCGAGGCCGGCCGCCGCAGTGACTCC